CCTGGCTCGCCTTCCCCGCCGCCGGGCCTTGAAACTCTGAGCCGGGGCTCGGTCGGCTTTTCTCTTTTTGTGTGCGCTTGACGGTTCCTGAAGCGTGAACTCCTGCAAGGGAGTGATTTTAATTTCCCAGCAGCTCTGCTTTCTGGGTTACTTCCTGTCCCATTCTTTAGTAGTTATCTTTTACTTCAGTTCCCTGGAGGAGCTGGCTTGACAGGGTAGCGGTCCTGCCTCCTGCCGTTATTGTCCCTCCAACTCTTTCCTATCCTGAGAGAGCGCCCTTCTTTTCGAGTTGAGATCCCGATTTAGGTAAATAACCCTTTCCTTCCTAATTTTTGAAGGCTCTTCCTATTTCGACCTGCTATTGCTTTGGTGTTAACCATTTTTGTTCTCCATTTCTCTCTTTTATGTCATTGCGTGGCTCAGTTCTACTTTTATTTTTTAGGTTTAAGCTGCCTTAAAGGAGAATTAAAAATTGTGACTCCAGAGAACAAAATAAGACAGAAGAGAGAAAACAGCACTCAAAAAACCCCCCCAGAAAGGTGATAATTCATGTAGACTCTCAAAATCATCCTAGACACATGGTTTGGCTGGGACTGGGGCCTCTTGTTGTGTTTTTGATGGATTTGAATAGGTAGCATTAGATTTCTTTGTTCTCTTAAAACCTACTTGCTATTGAGCTTTAAAAGTTTGAAAGCGCTGAAGCCCATTTGAAGTACGGTTCCTCTTTCTTCTTGTAGCGCTTTGTCATTTTCTAATTTTAATCTGCAAACATTATTTTGATTATGAGTTGCTACTTAATGGCTTTTTGTGTCTCCTCATCTCAGGAATGTCACTTAACTACCGAGAGCGTAGTAATTTTACAAGGGTCTTTTCTTAAAGCCTTTTCACAAATTTATGGGTGCGACACTGGATTTGTTTCTGCTCTGATTCTAAAATCTTTATTGGAGTAGGTTGTGGTAATTGCATTATGTTGGTTTAGTCGTACCTAACTTTTGCATGGGTCGGGTTTTTTCTATTGTAACGGAGCTGTAAAAATTGAAATTAATTTAATTGGATGGTGTTTGTTTACAAGTACTTTCTTTTTGGGTTGAGATCACAGAAGAAGATAATGCTGTTAGGTGCTTAAGGGAAAAAATGAAAGGAGTCATCGAAAACTGAATCCTGCTGGTAGGAGGAGGGTTTGGTTTCAGGGGGAGAGTAGTTCATAGGGAGAATTGCTTGTTTTACGTGGTAAGATGAAGAGATGGGATCTAGAAAGAGAGAGTGGGGGGGTGAATGATGTCAGTCAGCCTTTTTCTGCATCCTACTGTTAGTGTGCTCCAAATAATGGAGTTTCTGCGCCTTCTTTTAATGCAGAGTCTGTCTTGAATCCATTCTAATCCATTTCAAATGTAGATGATTTCGTGTTATTTTGGCAAATGTATCCTCTATATAGGTCCCCTTTGTCGTGTTTTCAGAGAAGTCATTGACTGTACCGGAATGTTTTTCATTGTCAGCAATAAATTATTTTTTAGCATTAGTTTGCAGGGGAAAGAGCAGTACCCGTTGCTAACAATTTTGGTCAAGGGTGGATCATTTTTCTAATACAGGTGTTACTAGCATATGATAAAAAGTAGCTGCTACATGTCAAAGATTAAGTAGACAACCCCCCATAACACAAGGGCAACAAATTCTGAGATGCATTTTGAAAGTACAAATATTCCATGTTATTTTGATAGCCTGCTGCAAAACCATGAGTAATAGTGGAACATGTGGACATGCCCAGTGTGATTGCAGGAGGGGGTTTTGTGCTAATAGGCAAGACAGATATGCATTAGTACAAGGTTACCAGTGTAGTTATGGCACACCTGTTTCATCAGAAGCTGGTTTATTGTAACACCCTCTTTACAACCCATCTGATGCATCTAATGGTGGGGCTTGCATTAATGTAGCTACTCCAACAGGACACCTCTTGGTGCCGATAAGTCGTAAGATCTTTGGGATTTTTTCACGGAAGGAAACATAAGTTTTCATTTGATTTGTGAAACTCCTTCCTAATGTGAAATGCCAGTACAGCAAAGTTTGATTCAGATGCAGAGACTGGAATTGAGTTCACAGGAATCAGGGAATTAACTTCTGGCAGAAATTTGCACGTGGTCAAAACAAGGAACAAAGATAAACGATGTGCTGAAGTCCTGCTCTTGATCTCTGGAAGAAATGCAGCATATTGCAAATGTAGCTAGCCCCTTAGATAAAGTTACACATCCCTTTTCTTTTTTTTTAATCTTCAGGCTGTATACTCATTTTTGTTTGGTTTTGCCTTATTGTGAATTCTAAACTCTTAAAGGAAATGTGCTGACTGAGAAGCTGTTTTCCGTTGTTCCAGCATTTGCTTACAGAATGATACTATCGCAGTGAAAAACTTGCTTTATCCACCAAAGTCATCCAGTGAATTCTGTCCACTTGGATTCTTTTAGGCTATATTAAAAAGAAATACAGAGCAAATGTAAGTCTTCCAGAGATTGTTGAATGGAATAAACTCTATAAGCGGCACTCTTTTTGTTCACCAGCTGTGCTACGGGTGTTAGGGCTGAAGTGACTGCTTTACTGTGGTTTGAACTAGCCCTTGTTTTCTGCTTCTGTCATCCTATGAAATATTGGTGTTTGGATTCTTTAATGATAGCAAGTCATGTTAAAATACATAAATCCTATACATTGACACTTCTACGAATTATTACTTACTTTTAAGGCTAAGCTTTCATCTGACTTTTACTGTTTAAAACTTAGTAACAGGACCACTGTAAGTTAGGAGAGAGATTCTATTTTATGATTGGTACAAGAGGATCTCCAAGCATGCTGCAGAGCACAAGCTCCCTGCAGTTTGTCAGCGCGCATCTTGAGGGAGGAGAGTTGTGGCTGTGCGAACTGATGCAGCATTCTCTACTGAAAAAGATCCATAAGGCCTTGCTTTAGCACTAGCATTAAGATCCTTGATTTGGAAGGATTTACAGTATTTTCTTCACGGGGCTCCACTTACGGTTAAGGTTGCCAATGTACAGGTGGGAATTTTGAGGATGGTTAATAGCTGATGCATTACCAGTGCTTTCTGAAGGTGAGGTCTCTTCTTTTGCTCTTCAGTTTGCAGGCCTGAAGTTACTTGAGCTGGGTGATTTCACTAATTCTCCATCAGGCCCAAAAGTCAGCCCTCACAACCTCTCTGTGAAATGGATAATAGTTGGTAAAATGATACCTCTGTACTTTAGTTTCAGCCACCTGCAGAATGTAACCACACAACAGCTGCTTATTAGTATATAACAACACCAGTCAGCATCATACAGTGCTATAAACACCCGAAGTTGATGGAGGACTTTTAGATTAACTCTTTTAGTTATTTTAAATTTAGTAAGTCCAAGCTACGAGATGGCATTACAGAAGCTCTGACAAGAAATGTGTAACTTTTAATGACCGCTCATGAAAAGCGAAGGCTTCTTTCCTTTCAAGTAGCAGTTCCTCTGTGGTATTTTGGATTCATGCACTGTTAACTCATTGCTTTCAGACCCAGCAATTAGCATGTGTTGCTTGGTGATTTTCATCTCAGCCACTTGGATACCTCACTTGATGTCTGTCTGGGATGTAGCATAGAACATCTAGCAGAAAATATATTCAGGATTATAAGGCTCTGTGAAATTTTAGTATTTCACATGTTATTTGCAAACTTTACAATTGTGATATGAGAACACAAATAATAACATGATTGTTTGCCTTACTCTCTTGTCTGAAGAGCTCCTGAAATAGGAAGCTGGGAGACATACGAAGATGATAGTCGCATTTAGTTTCTTTGTCAAACACATATTGACCATTTTTAAAATGCCATTTGAGTGAGAACACATTTAGCTTGTTCAAGTTTTGAAATGGGTGGGAGAAGTGGGTTCTGAGAATAATGAATGCTAATGTGATTATCCTTATTCCACAGGGCTTTCTTTTTTTTGTTGTTGTTTATTTGATTTAAATGTCTTGGAATAGTTCAACCACAGACAACTAGGATTGAGACTGATTAGGTCTATGCTAGATATTAAATGTCATGTGTAATGGTACACTTTCCTTGTTGTATAGAGTTGGGCTAACATCAGTAAATTATGGTCCTTATTCTGCTCTCAGATATGTAATCTTAGGGCTTCGGAATCGGGTCTGTCTGTTAGGCCATCTGAATGAGCAAAATACTATATTATAAGGTATTGCTTTTAGTACCAACCTTGAACTTTCTGTAGAGTAAATATATATGCATATGTCGGAATTAATTTTCCACATGATGTTTGCAATGACTTTAATGAAGTGACACATTGATGTAGAAAAGTCTAAGATTCTAAGATCTCTTTGACAATGTGAGACATTATCAATAGATAATGATGTTTGTCTTTTTTTTTAGTGTGCTACTTCTACTACAATTATTAGTGTTTTAAGCAAACTTTGTTAAGTCATTGAGTAAGTAAGCTTTACTTTCACTAAATATGTCTTCTTTTTATTAAAGTTGCAGATCCTACTCTTGCCATATGCAGCTAATTTTCCTTTGGGGGGAAAAAAGCTTGTTACTTTTTTAGTGGAGCAATCTGTTACCTTGTCTGTAGTCTGTGAAGTCAGTGCAATTCTAATTTGCATCAGCTAATAAAAAATGTGTGGGTTTTAAAGTGAAAATCATGCAAGAAAAAGGTGAACTAACCACCGATCATCTATGCAAAAAAAACAAGGCTAGAAATGTGATCAAATTAGGTCATGGCAGTGCAATTTTGTGCAGGGCTGTGAGCATATCTGCAGACCTTGTATGTTTTATCTTGGGAAGCAAAGCTCTTGGAAAATGTGCATAAGAGGGATGAAGAGAGCTTTTTTTCATCCTCCTTTTCTGAGCTATCGTCGGGAAAGCAAGATTTTGTGTTGCATTAAGTGACATAAATTTTAACTTAAGCTAAAAGCTGCACAGTTCCTATAATTGTTCTGGTTCAACTCATTTGCAGAAGAAACAAGTCACAGTTAGTTTTGTGTGGTCTGCTATACCATGAAGTAATTAATGCTTTTATTATTTATTATATTATTGCAGTGCTTACACATGATAAGGGGTCCTGTCATGAGAAGCTTGCAGCCAAAGTGAACGGAAGGTCAGACAGGTGTACAAAGAATTAATGAAATAACATTGATGAGTACAGGCTCTCAACAGTGCTGTAAGAAATGGTCAAATGTTGAGACTGATCTTGCTAACTGCATATGACAATGAAGGAGGTTAAGGAGGGCTAGTCTGAAGGAGGAAACTGGACAGGGATTGTAACTGGTGTTCAGTGAACTTTGATACTGAAAGGATAGTTGTTATGTATGAAGAAAAGGGTAAAGATTTTTGAGGTGGTGGTATTGCTTGTATTGTGAAGGTATCTTTACCTGTTTGTGAAACGCAACGTGTGTTAGCCTGATCCGCCATGTGGGGGAGACACGACTATCTGGTGGTGCTAGAAGTCCAGTTGAAGGACAGAGAAGTCAATGCCCTGTGTTGTCAGGTTTTGTCCTTTAGATAGGGAAGCATAGATGGGATGGAGATTTTAAAAACAAACAAACAAAAAAACCCAAATCAAACAAAAAACAGCAACCAAAAAACCCCCAAACAAACAAACCCACAAAAATGGGTTGGGAGGAACTAAATAGATTCTGAAGGTTTTTCCTGGCATCGGACTCCCACAGGGAGATGTTGAGCAGTCGGGCAGAAATACCTACTGTAACCCTTTGCATTCCATTCTTATTCCGTGGCAGGAGCAGATATGCATAATCCTTAGAGAAGAGTTTAGACCATTTCCTCAAGGTTTACTCCAGAGAGGAAGTGCATCTTGTTTCTCTTGTTTTCCATAAAATATTCTCTGTAGCCTTTTCCTCGACTGGCAGAAGCCAACTCTCCCCACCCCAACCTCTGGAGGACTGTCTGATAATGAAAGAAAACACACTTCAGGGCCTCCTCTGGCAACTGCATTAAAATGTAGCATTCTAGCACAGGTACAAAGTAAAAGTAAGTAAACCTCTCTCACTCTTTGCAACTAATAAGAAATATCATTTTTTTTAAGGGATAGCAGGTTGTTTGACACACATGGGCACACAAGATTATGAATAGTGAAGACAATGAAGAGTGGGACATCCATCGAAGAGTAGCAACCTCTTATAAGGTAATTCAGGAACACATTGAATTTATCCTGTTGCAAAATCAATTAAGTAGTAGTTGTCCTCCATTTTCGTGGCACTATACAATCATTATAACCAGGAATGTATAGGTACATTTTTTCCCCCCTCTGCTTCATTTAATTTTTTTACTTGCATGGAGAAAGCCAATACGTAGCAATCCAAATGCATACTGTGTTCTGAATGAGATTGATTACAGTTGCAAAACATTAAATATTAAATGCCAAATGGCTAATGACTTCCAGTAGTCCTCCTTTCCTTCTCCAAAGATTGATGCTGTAAATGGGGATTTGCAAACGGGAATTTTAAATGATCTATGGAGCAGAAGTGAAAAATGTTTTCAAAGCTGGTGTGTACCTAGAACTATCCTGAAACCTTTAATGTTGCAGTTAAGTATTCTTGCAATTTGAATTTCATTGCTTGCCATAGGGGTGAGATAGAAGAGTAGATATGTACAGAAACTGCGCAAGTGATAAAAGGAGCTGCTTATGCCTGACTTTGTCTTCTGCTTTGTATGTTTTAGTACTTACGTACTTTAGTACTAGCTAATTTGAATAAGCTCTGCTAGTCACATGCAACATATGGGGCCAGTGCCAACTTTTTATAATGCTGCATTACAAATATACCCACCAGCTGAGAAGTGTGATATAAAGAGCTTTGCTTTTTCTTAACCAACTGTGTTCATAGATAGTTGCAGGGGGGGTACTGCTGGCCCCTTAAATGAGAAATCCCATTTCGCTTCATCTGTTTAGTCGTCCTAGCTCTTTCTGTAGCATTTTGAGCAACTAGTTTGACCTTAATATTCAGGATCATGTGAGATCTTTGCAAGAAGGGACTGTGAAAATGGCGGTAGAAAGTTTGTTTATATTAACTTTTGATCAGATATTCTCAGTTTGAGAGAAAAGTTTTCGTATCTTGTTTTTGTATACATACAGAAAGTAGGGCTAAAGGGGCATGCTCTGATTTTTTTTTTTTTGAAGGCTCTCCCCTTGACTCATACTTATTATCAGTTAGATTCTACTATTGGTTTTCACCTGTAAATCCAAAGAAGTATCTTGTTCTTGTAGTTGTAATTTCATTAAACCTGCTATTAGTGGTGTGATCCAGAATGAAGTCAAGCTCACTGTCTTATAGGTGAGCACGTTCTGAAGTGCTAATTGGAGTCTAGAAAAGAGCTTAGCAAAAGCTTATTAGAGTCAATAGAAGTACTTCCATTGTCATCAGATTAACCAAGTTTGATTTTTGGAATATGCTGCAAAAGCTGAACTATTGAGTTAGCAGTTGCCGGTTTGTAAATCCCCTTTTCTTCCAGTGTCAGATAATGGAGTTCATACTGTAAAACAAAACAAAGCCAGTACCTAAGCCATGTATAACCTATCGAGCTAAAAAGTCTTCTTTCATAACCCTATGCTGAAATAGTGATTGTTGCCATACCTGGTAAGTTGAAGCATTTATAAATTTCAAAGACAGGCATTTGCTGTATGTAATTTCCATATTTGCAATGTAAGTAGGGTCATTGTAGCAACCTGTTAATTATGAGTTTACATCTCTCCAAGAAGCAGATAAATAACTTCTTTGCAATGGGCACAACTAGGTTATGGTAGAGTGAATAGATAGCTATGCCTTTATCTGGAAAGATGGCTGTGATTGTTGATTTCACTTTTCTCGTGTGTGTGTATATCTAGACCACAGGAAAACAAGTGCCTGGTGGGATATGGGGAGTTGATTTCAGTGTCTTTTGAATGACCTATGAATCATGAGGATCTGGAAATCCTTATGATATTTACGTAAAAGAAGGTTTAGGTGATGATGTGGGTTGACATCCTAATAAAACAAGGTTGATGTAAGTTTTAAGTTTTGCTTAAAATTCATTTTCATCTTTAGAACTTTTCCTTGTAATTTAACTTTACAGGAGTTTAAACACATTTTTCTTTCTCTTTTTTTACCTTCTAGTTCTGTGTTAATATCCATTGCAACAGTTTTTGAATATTTTCTGAGACTCCTATTGCTCAGCATTACCTTTCTAATACCCTGCTTATATTCTCTTTCTTCTGATATTCCTTTCCATTCTAGGAATACCTGTTAATGGGATATGATACAGAATGTATGTGAAAATGTAAACACTTAACAGACTTTGTGTACTGTGGAAGAATCCATAAATACCTGTATTTTTCTCTTGTCCCCGGCTGGGTAGCAAGTAGAACTGCAGATGAGTACTTTTCAAAGAGAGCATGGAGTATAGCACTTCTTTCTTTCCCAATGTGTCTAGGCTTTTTTACAGTGGCTATTTTAGATAGCCTTTTGGCCCAGCTCTCATATGGTGTATCAAGGTAATTATAAATTGGATTGTTCTGGTATATGTTCTCATAGTGTTTGACAGGGCTATATTAACTGCACTTATGTGTTTTCAGGTCTCATATTATCGTCTTTGTGTTTGATTTTTGGAATATAGAGGTTCTTTGCAGTCCTTATATACTAATAAGGAAGTCCACAAGCCAAAATACAGACAGTAGACTCTAATTGGAAAAAAAAAAGGAAGAGAGAAAGAGGGGAAAAAAGGAGATTAAAGTTTTCAGTTTTAACATTAATGTTACTAATATTCATGTGCAGTAGGTCACAGGAAAAGATTATATTAGTAAGATGAAACTATTTTCACTGAAGCTTAGAGGTGATACATTTCTAGAAAAAAAAAAAAGAATAATATCATAGTTCAGTTGCTCTAGCAATGCAGTGCTGTTTCATGCAACAGTTTGGATCATCAATTTAACCAGTATCTCTGGAGTTAGTGATATTAATTAACCATGCTGTGATTTTTAAGTGAATGTTGGGTTCTGGAGATTTTTCATTTTGCTTATCGCTCAGGTGCTTTAATTGTGGACTGTTGTTTGATGCTGTCATTTCTTAAGAAAATGCTTACTATTTATAATGTGCAAGTGTCCTTTTCTTTTGCAATTCAGTGATGTGAACCATGTACTATGATTTTGCTAGCAACAGTGAGATTGTTTGATTTTTATCCTGTGTATAAGATGACTTCGCTCTGCATATACAGAGTAAATCTTAGCATTGCTTTTCATTAGTACTGACTTTTTTCTAGATATCTCTTTCCTGGTCCCAATTCTAATTTATTCGTGCTTTACATTGATTCAAGGTGACTAGTGTGACCTCATGACACTTCTGTAAAAGCCAGATTCAGCTAGGATGTTACACCATCACTGTCGGAGAAACCCTGAACTACAGGAAGAGTTGCAGATTCAGGCTGCAGTTGCTGCTGGCGATGTTCACACCGTGCGCAAGATGCTGGAGCAAGGCTATTCTCCAAATGGTCGAGATGCCAACGGCTGGACCTTGCTTCATTTCTCTGCAGCAAGAGGGTTATGTGTCCGTGTTTTTCTTGAACATGGAGGTGAGTTGCCTAGAGAGAAAAATCTTGATATCCATCTCACAGCTTTCTATCCCAATTTCCAATGTAGGGCTTTCCAGCACTGGTTAGGTATCAGACTACTTCTGATTTTTTTTTTTTCCCCTTTCTTTGGAGTAGTACTTCTTCTTGAACATGGAGGTGAGTTGCCTAGAGAGAAAAATCTTGATATCCATCTCACAGCTTTCTATCCCAATTTCCAATGTAGGGCTTTCCAGCACTGGTTAGGTATCAGACTACTTCTGATTTTTTTTTTTTCCCCTTTCTTTGGAGTAGTACTTCATCTCTGTTTACTTCTGATGCATGCTCTGTGAATGAGGTAATAGATTAGCTTTATATCTTAATACCTTCTTCCACCCCCCCCCCCTGAATTGCTTAGGAATTGTTAAAAGAATGAATAAGCATTATGAAAATAGGGCAGAAGGACTCATTATAAGATCAAATGTACTCATAACGCTCACTGTAGGCTTTTCTTCTCTGTTAGGCAGTATTATTAGAGGAAGGCAGCTCCTTGAATTGAAATCCTAGGGATGTTTGTTTCATAATTCTCAAGCAAGTTAACAAGTCACATTAAAGACTAAGTTTCCATATAGGCTTTAACAGAGTCTGCTAGACTTTATGAAAACTGTACTCTTTGTGCAAGGACTTTAGTGTCAGCTAGTCCAGTTGAGTTTACACCTCTCCTGCATCCATCCGTAGTGAAGCTTTATTTCAAGAACTGATTGAGTTTTGTTGGTTTAAGTGATATACTCGCTTGGGTGATGATGATTACCCCTCAAATGGTACAGTTAGAATTTCTTTGTGCTATATCTTATTTCAAGGCCACCTAAAGTTTTAGAAATGGATAGTCAATCTTTTAATGTGATACTGGAGAAGAAAAATAAAAATCAGTAGATGTTCTCCACGTTCTGATTAGTGCTCTTAAAGAACAGCATCCTCTATTCTAGCGCTGTTCTTATCAAATAAACTATGAACTAAGATGTTTTCAGTCCCAAGGAGACTGAAATTATCTTTTTGATGCTTTACGTATCTGAGGCCATATGGGCACTTTATGTGTCGCAGTATTTGTCAGATGTATGGATCACCCTTAAAACTGAATGGCATTAATAGGCTGTGGTATTTGCACAATTAGTGGTATGTTCCTTAAGAGCAGTAGTGAAATACAGCCTGAAGAACTGGACCCTGTTGATATACCCATTACAGATTCTAACCATATAATATTGGCAAACCCTTGTGTCCTGATTGGAAGGGGGGAAAAAGCTACTAAATTGCAGTAATAAATAGCTTTAAATTCTACTTTTTAAATGTAATATATGTGGATAATCTCAGGCCTTCAGTTTGATAATTCAAATTTTTTAGGCTGTAAGTCTCAAAATGTGTTGGTTTTAGCTCTGTAAACTTGAAGATGATCTTAAAAAAAACCAAACCCAAAACCCTTATGTATTCCGATGTATTTTCATTGTATAGGTTTTGATATTAAATAGCTGCTGATGCAGTGTTTTGTTTTTATTTTTATTGTTACTCTTTCCTATACGAAGTACCAGCTTAATGTGATGCCTCGTGAAAACTGCCTGTAATGAAACACCCTTGTTCTGGAAGCGGTATAGCGTTTAATCACCAGGACTAGAAAGTTGAGTAACAAATAGTGTGAGGGTTAGTCATCTACAGCAGCTTTCCTGTAGCTGAGCCTTGCTTCAGAAAACTGGCACTGTTTTGTGCCTTGCCTTGTTTTTCCCTTTAAACAGAGGCATAAAAGATAATGAGTATTTAAAACATAGTAATGTCACAAATGAGCTATTAAGCAGTGAATGAGCTGACTCTTAAAAGCCGAGTTAATCATGCCTGCCTCATTAGTGAGAGGTTTGCGTCTACCTTTCTTCACACAGTCTCCACCTTTCTCCCTCTCAAGAAGTGGATTATTTTGATATTGGCGCTTAATCCCTGTGGACCAAAATGATACTGGGGTGAAGGAACAAGTCATTTTCTGGTGTGAATCTTGTGGTAAACAGAGTATTGAACTGACTATATGTGTTAGTAATAAAGAAGACAGCGAGAGGGAGTGGATGGAGTTCTGGAGGAGAGAGGGAACTGAGATGTTATTGGGAGGGAAGGGGCAGCTGGTGATAGTTGTGGCTGCCTAGAGGGATGATGAAGCTTAGCAGAGCTGGAAATATTTTCATAGTGCAGGAATGGGAAAACCACACTGGGCTGTTGCTGAGGGTAGAGTTGCTGTACCTCAGATCTGAGATGCTGGAAGACTACTGACGTAGTCTTGTGTGGTAGCGGGATGGAGATGGAGTTTGGGTTATAAAGGCTGAGAAGGAATCTCGTCACTGACCTGGAAATAAAAGGTAGCTTCTTATGGGAGTCATGACCTGGCCGCCTCCTGCTTTTGTTTTTTTTCTTCTCTTCCATCATTGCTCACCAGCAAAGAAAAGAGCCAGAGGACAGCATTGTGCGTGCAGATTGGCTGATTTGAGTGGAGGTGGTGGAACAGGAGGAAGCTTTTTATTATCTGCTGAGCAAGGAGACACAGATAGATGGGGAAAACGCATAAAAAAACAGTCCAGACTAAAGGATGAAGCCAGCAGAAATACCAACTAGATACAGAGGTAATAGGTCAGATAATAAATATTCTTTAGCAAGTGATGAAATGCAGGAAGTTGATCAGAACCATGGAGAAACTTAGTTTTCATAAAAAATAGTGAATTTTACTTTCTTGGCGTATTTGTCTCATTTTAATACAGTGAAGATTCTATGAAGCCAGCTCTTTCCATCCATAGAAATAATCTAGAGCCACGAAGCTCGACAGGAGAGCAACACAAAAGTAGGGAGTATAGTTTTCAGTAATCTTGGATTTTTGTGTAACAAGCCTTTTTTCCCCCCTTTACTGTACTTTTTTTTTATTTTCAAAATAACATATTGAGACAGACAGTCCAGCGCTGGACAAGAACTATGTTTTATTAATCCCCAACCACCACTGTTAACGTTACAATGAGCTAAAGTCTTGAAAGTGTGTAATTGTTAGCTGTCCCTTGGCGATATCTTCTCAAAACTAATTAAGCAGGACAGTTTCTGGTTACTCGTATTAAAGTGAAGAAATGATTCACTAAAGCTCCTAGAAATTGAAGAATAACAGAAAGAAGTAGCCAAACAGATGTATGTATTTATTTTTAGTCTTGGCTGCAAGGTATCTAAATTTTAGTAAGGTCACACAGAATCCGGGAGAAACTAGAGAATGGCAAATGCTCATCCCCCTAAACCAGCTCATGAAGTGTTTCTGTGTCTGAACAGTAATGCTTTCCTGGAGGTCTTTTGTATCAATGTTGTCCTAGAAAATTCAAAACAGAAGCTATATGTAGCCATGTCTCTAAACCTTGTGGTCAGAATTAAGCCCTAGTTGGGGGAAGTAAGCTTGAAATAAAGGAAGTACTTTATGAAACCAGAAGCATTGCTTTCTTGGCTTCCCAAATTAGACTGTGATAGAGTCATCTAATGAAGGTGTCAAGAAAGAAGGGAAACTGTCCCACTGAGCAGTAAATTGAAACTCTAAAATATTAGACTCTTGTTTAGGAATCTATATAGCCTCTATACAGTATTAGAAAAGAATTTCATTAACAGTAGGGTTTAAATGACTAGTTTAGGTGCCCAACTTTAACATGAAATAAAATAATCTGAATATCATTCAGTGTTGCAAATTTTCAATCTCAAGTGAGCTTGATTGAGGTAATTTGGTACCCTTGATAAGCAGTTCAAGGTTTATGCCATTGTATTATGCCTTATATTTAAGAACATTACAAGTGACCAAATGCAGCTGTTGATGTTTCTAGATTCTGCTCTCCCCAAATTAATGGGAAGCTTGAAAAGAAATAATTGTTTGACAATCAGGGTGGAGGCAAGATAAAGAAATGCTGGCAAGTGCTGGCTTCATCCCTTCCTAGTTAAATATGCTTGTACCAGGTACTTTTTTTTTACCTCTCTGCAGATTCTGAAAGGTAAGCTGAGAATCATTCCCAATTAATTTCTACCTTGCTTATGTTCCAGGGAGAGAGAGTTACTTTACAGCATGATACCAATACTGAAGCCTTTTGAAAAACAAACAAACAAAAACCCCCACAACAACCCAAGTGCTTAAGGCAACATCAGCTTTGTAGCATTACTTTTACTAACACAGGGACCCAATGGATGGGAATTGTATGCAACATAATGCAAGTCCAACTTCTGCTGAAAGCCCTTGTGAAGTTCAAGAGTTTTCCAGGAGATGGCAGCAAAACATTGACTGAATAGCAACAGACAATGTTTTGGTCTTGTTAAAATTGTTTACCTAATCAAGGGGGAGACTGGTACTAGTAGCTCACTAGAAGCCCATAATCTTAATGGGAATTACAATATTTATATCATGAGGTTTTGCTACCGGGTTGACTTTTGGAAGGTTAGTTGTTTGTGTTGCTTGGTTGCCCAACTGAGAGGCTTTTTTCCTATTCTTGTTGAGACAGTTCTCTTATATGACTTAGTAATTTTTTTCTAGTTCACTTTAGTGGTCAAAAGCAATGAAATTTTGGAAGGAGGGAAGGCCTGGAAAAGTAAAAGGCATCCTTCTTTTTCAAGTAAATTGTTGGATTTGGATTACAACTTGTGTAAGAATGCATATAAATGCACACACAAAAGTTGGGGCATATCTAACTGAATTTGGAAATCGCATAGACTAAACTGGCTAGCGGCAGTATCCTGCACCTCAGTTGGGAGGTAGAAATGATTGACTTGCATGCCCTATGCAGCATGGAAGAGAGAATGCACAAAATGAATTTCTTTTTTTAAACTTTGTTTTGTGGAAATGGCCCTGGCTGCTGTCTCCTTTCCATTATGTCCATCTTTCTCCCTAATTCTGCCTCTCAGAATGTGTCATCCCTCTGCATCTTAATTCTCATGCTTATGCTACTCACTTTATTTATCACCAGTCAGGAGATGAATAGTCTGAGCAGTGCAAAGAAAGAGACCCTGGGAGCAGCAAACATCACTGGGAAATACTATCTTTGTCTTTAATGACTTTGTGGGTTGTACTGATTCTTTGCTGTATTTTGGACATCATCATAGTGCAGGTTAGGAACCACCTATTCAGTCACTGACTTCATTTTCCTGCCAGCCTGAGGATGCTTCGGCAATTACTTTAACCCAGGTTAGTGTAACTTTACAGGGCACTGAAACTTCTGCTTTTCACAGACGACTAGGAAGGCTGTCACTTTTAAGGGACTAAACTTTCCTTAATCTTTCCCTCGTTATTTCTAGGTTCCTATTCTATACACTAGAGGCAATTCTCACATTTTATTTCTCTGTGTAGTCAGGCTGCATTAGTTTGTGCGTTGGATTTTTTTTGTTTGTTTGTTTTCCTCCCCTCAGTCTAAATTTAAAAAAAAACTTTAAAGTTGCTGGATCACCTTTGCAGCTGTATTCTGTTATTCTTTCTTGCCGGTCCTTTTATTTTGGTATGATGTCTATCTCTGTGTGTTATCTGAACGTGGTCACAGTAGGTCCGTATTGGGAAACTTATTCCTATTGTTTTGTGTTATCACCTTTGTGTGTTCGGATGTGTTCAGACTAAACTAGCTTGCAATTTATATTGTATTGTGAACTTAACTTACAGCAGGTCTGAATTTTGAGATGCAAATTGGTGTCTCCCACCCTCTTCCCCTCTCCTGTTTGAGTGTGATGGCAACCGAGCAGAAAACTCTGCCTTCTCTATGTGGTACAGGAGAGCAAGTGCTTCTCTTGAGCAATGTGTGTGAGCACTGGGTGTTCATAGCCTTCGGCCAAGTTTGTTTTAAACCTGTGCAGTCACAATATCCTTTTTTTTTTACTTTTTTTCTTTTTTCTTTTTTTTCCTTGGCCTTTTTTCTTTTTTTTTTTGGCCTTTTTGCTTTTTTCCTTTTCCTCTAGACCACTGCTACTTTCCTTCTAAACACAGTATGTATAGATGAGGAAATTACAAAGAATTCAATGTGCCAGGATGCAAGACAGGGCTGTCAAGGTTATGGAAGGTGGACGGACACCCTTATGCTTGTCTGCACTTAGAGGTGATGTGCTTTTTGCACAAATGTATGATAACAGAGCAGACGACAACAACACAAGCAACTGTGAAGGACAGACCCCAGCAGTTGTTTCAATAGATACACGGGAGTATCGAAAATGTGTCAGCTTAAGGCTAGTGTCTTCTGCAGATAGTATCTCTCTTTACCAGCTAGGAGACTTAGGTTAGGAAAGTGCATCAGACTTCCAAACTGTAGTTTGTAGCTTTTAGCGTCTGACAGGCAGCATCTATGGATGGTGGAAGGAGAAATCTCACAGCCTGACTTGTTCTCTAGCTGAGAAATGGTAATGAGGCAGGCGCCTTTCCTTCGGTAATTAATTTGGTACATGGGAATAGTCACTTGCTTTAGAAGTCTGAGGAAATTAAATTAATTAAATTGATTCGATTATTTTAATTTTTAAATTCATAAATCATATTGAGTTTTCGTGCTATGTTGGGGGGGGAATAATCTGTGTAATCACTTGTATTCTGCACTGAAATTTTTCCTGACTCCTTCCATAAGTGGATGCTTACATTCTTGTAAAATCTTAAATTTTTGTAAAACTACAAATTCAGAACAGATTCATCATCTATAAAACCAGACTTTATCAAGATAATCTAAAATAACATATATCCTACATGGTTTGGAAATCCTGCAGACCACAGAGAAACATTTTACCTAATACAGTATTACACCCTAAGAACAATACAATCCTGCCAGACCACAAAACATCCGCAATTTGGGACAGCAGATGTTTCTACACATGCTTCTTTTTAAGACCAAGAAGCAACACAAGGGAAAATAAAAAAGTTGAACATTGAGAAAGAAATGTAATATTGTAGAGCTGGAGGAAAACTGGATGGACAGAGAGATTTGAGTAATTAGCCTAAGAGTGCTAGGAAGACGTGGAAAACTATTTGTCAAATGGAAACATATGTATATGAAAGAAGTAATCTTTTTTGTGTAACTCTTTCTTAAATATAATTAACTTTTTCTTAAAAATAGCGTGTTCATGAAAGCAAGAATTAGTTTGAAGTACGAAAAATCCTGTCATGCTATGCCTGAAAAGCCTAACATTCAACCGTTTCATTATTTCTTTGCAGCACTGGATTACTGTAATGCCTTCTAATTACTTTTTAATTTTATTTTAACTTCAGCTGATCCCACAGTTAAGGACTTAATTGGAGGCTTCACTGCTCTGCATTATGCAGCCATGCATGGCCGAGCGAGGATTGCACGCTTGATGTTGGAATCTGAATATAGAAGTGACATTATTAATGCAAAAAGCAACGATGGTTGGACTCCCCTCCATGTAGCAGCCCACTACGGCAGAGACTCATTTGTCAGACTCCTGTTGGAGTTCAAGGCTGAGGTTGATCCACTCAGTGATAAAGGTACTACACCGCTTCAGCTGGCCATTATCCGAGAGAGGTCAAGCTGTGTGAAAATCCTTCTGGATCACAATGCCAACATCGACATTCAAAATGGTTTCCTGTTACGATACGCTGTGATCAAAAGCAATCACTCTTACTGCCGAATGTTCCTTCAGAGAGGGGCGGATACAAACTTGGGTCGCTTGGAAGATGGACAGACACCCTTACACTTGTCTGCTCTTAGAGATGATGTGCTTTGTGCACAAATGTTGTATAATTATGGAGCAGACACTAACACAAGGAACTATGAAGGACAGACCCCACTGGCTGTTTCAATAAGTATTTCTGGAAGTAGCCGACCCTGTCTGGATTTCTTACAAGAAGTGACAAGTATGTATGTAAGAGAAGTTAATCACAGGACACAGTGTCCTCTAAAAGCCTTCTTTGAATTTAGCCCCAGAAAAAAATGCTTCCCCTCTGCCCCTTGATGCTATTTAAATGCACTAGAAAGTTTCTGGGAAGGTGAAGGGATTGTGATACTGGGAATCTCTTACTCGGCAAAGGTGCTAATGTTAAGTATATTTTATTTAAATTAGTTTTGTTTAAATATCTACAGGAAGCATTCATTTTTAGAAAAGTGAACTGTAAAATCTCATTTTATTAATGGCCTTAGCACATAAGATTTTTGGGTTTTGTTTTGTTGTTTGTTTGTTTTCTTTAGTGTCTTTTGCTTTTTTTTTTAATTGCCATGCAAATACTCTGCAGTTGCTGGCTTTTGCACCTGGCACTATGACTGGGGTAGAAAAGACCTTCTGCTGCTTTGTGTTCTCCCACATTCTCTCCTTCTCTCTCCTACACCAGACAACAAAATGGCATAGTTTACTCGTGCAACTTGAAGGGGTTTCATGTGCTGTGTAGCTTTGATTTGATTTTGTTGAAGTATGAAAGAGACTTGAACTTGTCATGACTTCTGATATTTAAAAAAAGTATTAGGCTCCTAATATTCTGGTCACTTTTAACTATCAGTTTTTGGTGTACTAGATCTACTGAAAGTGTTTTCTTCCTCTCTCATTCAACACTGAATGCTACAATAGTGTTTCATAATTATAGTATTGCCTAAAGCATTTAGGAATTGCTGATTAGCAATTAGCAGGAGTTTGCTAATTCAAACACGTTAAGATGGCCTGATAAATTACTATCTAACTAGGATGATCTTTGCACTACAAAGGATGGGGTGTTTCATATATCCTTTTTTCCCCTACAGTTTCTTTTATTTTTTTGGATGTGGTAGTTTTTAATGAGAATTAAGCACTCTATATACTCTGCAAAGAAACTGAAATTTAGTGTGGACTGGGGGTGAATTAGCTGAGATCTGTTGTTAGTAGCTGACACAAATAAGCATTTGGAATTTCATTTTTGTCTTCATGATTTGTGGTGTTATTTTTGCTTTTATCTGAAATCTAAAGAGAATTTTTGGAAAGGGGGGAAGTTGATAATAAGAAATACAAGCAACTAATAGATTTTGTTTTAATTTGCCTACCCCTTCTCATTCAAACGCTTTTCTTTCTGGTTTCCTTTTTGGAAGCCTCTCACTATATAGTAGCACCGTCAGGGCTGTTACTAGATTATATAATACCCAGACTTGCAATTTTTCACAGTCTTAGAAAGTACTGGTGAGCATGAAGGCTTAGACTGCTTAAGTGTTTCCTCAACGTCTAAAGACTAATTCAGAAAGTTGGAAAACGGTACTGCAACTTACTTTTAGGTTGCAGATTCCATACCTTAAGGGTTTAATATTAAGTGAGACATAAATTCTGCTACAAAAAAGTAGCTTAAATTTGTGGCCAGTGTAGTAGTGTTGGAGCTATCCCAGTTTTGTGCTGATGGAGGGAGAACTGGGAAAGCAGGGAGAACTAGTGCTGACAAAAACACTTCAACTTTGTGCTTCTTAGGAAAATTATTATGAATATACGTTTACAAACAGCTATAAACAGACTCTGCTGCCCTTGTTATAAATATCCAAACACTGTCGTGTCTTCCACGGTTTTCATGAATAATCACTTTAATAAGATGGTGTAGGAGAGATGAAACGGATAAAGAGCGAGCTGGGATTTTGGTAGTGGAGTTTCCAGTTAGATCAGACTGTGTACAGGGAATTGTTGAGATCTCGCACTGTAGCACTTCGGGGAAATCTTGTTTCTGAGTCTATTGCAATGTGTATTTACTAGAAGAAAAATTTGCAAAATTTTTAGAGAATTCTTCTAGTGGGAGTCTTCCTGAAATTATCTCTTGCGGTTGGTAACAGTGCCTTGGTTGTAGGGCATAACAGGAATTTCTAGTTTGTTTATTTGAACATTATACTAAATGCTTAATATAGAAATCCATAGCTGTAAGTTTTATATGTGCATCCAAAGATTTGAAGAGTATGTTTGATAGTAAAACAGGAATTAGTTTTTACTTTTGCAGTAGATTAAAACTTTTGAGCTTAAAGATTAATATATGTGAATTATGAATGTTATCAAACCGATCTTTGTCTTCAAGTGAAAGCGGTTGCATGCTTCATATAAAGGGGATGCTCTTTAGCAGTCTACATGTAAGATGTAAGTAGCTTTTTTTTTTTAATACTCAGAAAACATATTTGTACAGTTTCAGTTCCTCAGAAAACATCATATGTGAATTTGTTTTGGTAGGTATTGTAATCGATGGTAATCGCAGCCCTTAGCCCAGGTCCCTGGTTTTGAATAACAGGCACGAAACCAAGCTCTCAGAAATACTCAGTATTGGCCCTGAGAGTCTGCAAGAAGATATTGGATTTTGGGTTTTGACCCTGAAGGTCTGATATTTTTCCTGGTTACAGGTAGGGATTCCTTTGCTCCTAGAATAACTCCAAGAGGAAGGAAGTTATTCTGTAGTTGTGTCTCAATATTTAAGCACGAAGCAGGCAGTTAGGAACAACGAAGTGTCTCATCGTGTGGTTGCCATTGACTTGGTGTTTAGATGGTCACTCATGTCTTCCCTCCTGTCCCCCCTCTTTTTGACAATACGAAAATGAGTAAAGTCTCCCTGTGAAAAAACAACACTGAAGATGAAAATTACTCAATGATTTTATTAATCACCTTCCTTATCTGTATTACACTCCAGAAAATTTTTATTGGCAACACCATAGTACCTGAGATCATCTGATAAAGAGTTGTTTTGGAGCACTTCAAGTATAATGCTTCAGTTTTATGAGATCTGAATCTGCCTTTTCAGGAGTGTCAGTGGGTTAAGCTTGGGATACACTAATGCAAAATTAAAATAGAGATGCATGTATATAATATATGTGAAGACAGAGATACATATAGACATTCACTTTTTTATTTTTTTTGGTAGTGTATATGTCTACAGAATTAACATGTGCAATTACAGTCCTGGATGGAATGATTTATGTTGAAGCTGAAGTTGAATGGGATTTGAGAATACTAAAACTTATAAAGAGAATGCTGGAGGTAGGAAAAAATGCAAGTATTAGAAAAATACTTAAAAGTTTAAATAAACTTTAAGATACTAGAAATTCAATTACGATGTCAAAAAGGGGAATAAAAAAAACTTGAACCCTTCCCCCTCCCCATAGGTCTCATTTAATTTAATCACTGTTCAGATAATGTAGCAGACAAGAGAGTCTATGACTCGCTATGCAAGTTGCTTGTCTGTGTCGAGGCAAATAGCTAAGTAAATGGATATGACCATGGTAGTGTAATATGGCATGTATGTTAACAGGTATCAAAGAACTAATTTCAGATCTGGAACAAGATCTAAAGGCCACCAGATGAATTAAACTACAAATATTTCATCTGCATTCTTTTTTTTTTTGATTTTTCAAAGAGCAAATCTTTGGCTTTGACTAGAGAGTACAATTTTGTGTTCAGATTTATATAGCACTGTAAATGTGCAGAAAAACTTAGACAAAAGTCCTATTAAGGAAATCCTTATACATTCTTTGTCTCTATCCCTTTGCTAAGTAAAGATAACTTTTCACTAGGCCTTTTTTTTTACTGGAAGAACATTTAAAAAAGGGTCTCTGCATAGTTTAAACTTTTATGAATACAGAAGTGTCATAGTGAATTAAGTAGATTTCTACATATTTCATAACGTGGATAATTTCAAAGGAAACAGCGTCTTCATGTTTGTTATAACATAGAAGACCTTTACTGGAATTGCAAGCTCTGTCTGCTTCCTTGGGTGCTGCTGGAAATCTTGCACTAATGAATGTGGTCTGCTTTGTCATCCAGAGTTACGCAGGGAACTAGAGTAAGAGGGTTATTTTATAGTTTTCGTTTTAGCTGGATCAGTGATAAGCAGATACCATCTGAATCATGATTACTTTCTGCAGATTGCATGTACCTATTTGTTAAAGACCAGTATAGTTTTTGATACCTTTATAAAGACATAGCCCAATTTCTTTCTTTCTAGAAAGAGGGAAGGTACCTTTCAAATAACTGTTTAACTCAACTCAGAATTGCCTAGTGTGATATTGAAAAATGTAGCTACTAAATCAGAGTGCAGTTGACTGTTTATATTAAGCAGTTGAATCATTTTTATATATCTATATACAGAGGTATACTTTGGAAGAGTTTTTTTAAGAGGTCTATGTAAAAAAAAAATATATATATATTTTTACATGTGACATGTAAGGTAGAGCCTCCCTGCGCTCCCATTTGCACACCTATGCTGTACTCTGTTATAATGTAAAAAGAGTAACAATGCCTCTTAAGCCTGTCTATGTTCAGAGCATCTTACTTAATGTCTCCTAAAAATAGATAAACATTATGGTCTTGAATTTTGTAGCTGAATTTCTGTAGCAATTTCAGTAAGACTGAATTTACAGAAATGTTACAAAATATTTTAAAAAAATCTTACACAAGCATATTCAAATCTTAATTTCATTGCTAAATACACCTGTTATACTTAACATTGAGCTTTACTGGCATTCTGCTTTTCCATATATAAATTTTCAGTCCAAAATACACTCCTTCTTGGTACATATTTTCTGTGCCAGAAATACTGAAATTTAATAGACATCTAAAACTCATTGTGGAGAATTATTTTTCAAAGAGCAACAAAAACATGCTTCCAGCTCAAGTATTCTAACAGAGGCATACTGAACACAAAATTATACTAGAACTTTTAAAATAACTTGTATGATATCCAGTTAAAAAGAATTAAAAGTGCTCTTTGTCCTGTTGAGCTAGATACTGATTCAAGGAGTTTGTTGACTTTCTCAATGAACGCTGGCATTCTCTTTGTCTCTAAATTCAGCCCTGCATGTCTTATATTAATATTTCAAACCTCTACATTCTTGATATTAGCTTTTTCTGGCATTTTGAATGCTGGAAAACCAAAAACCCTCT